TTCAATTCCATGGACAAACTGTGTCTTTAAAACTTCAATTTTATCGGAAAATTTAAATCTCCCGCCAGTCACTAACAGCAGCTCTCTTTTCTCGCCAAGGTCCGCGGCAAGGAGATGCCCCGCATGTCGGCCGACTGCCGCACCAAGAACCGCGTGATCGTGCGGCCGGGCCTGGACTCGCGCAAGGTGTGGGTGTTCTGCCCGGCCGAGCCCAACTCCAACGAGGTGGCCGAGCTCTTCTCCGAGGGCTGGGAGCCGCGCGCCAACTCGTCGCCGCTGGCCATGCTGTCGCCGCTGGCACGCGCGCTCATCGTGGAGCTCGTGCAGCGCGAGGACTCGGCCCGCGCGCCGGGGCCCGCGCCGCACGTGTCCTGGATGCAGGTGTCGCGCAGCCACCGGCCCGCCGCCGCCTCGTCCACCACCTCGCCGCAGGACTGCCCCTCCAGGTAACCAAATGCGTGCCAAAACGCAATTTTGTGCCAAAACGCAATTTTGTGCCAAAATGCAATTTGTGTCAAAATGCAAATTTTGTTTCGCCAGTCAATACGTGTTTGGTATACCTTGAGTGGTATATACAATTTAACTTGTCGCCACTGGAGGCAACAATTTTCCCTCGTCACTTTTAAGGCACCTTAGAAACAAATAAGTGGTTCATACCCACTGATACGCTACCAAATCATCGGAAGTTTTGAGTAAATGTGTTATGCTACTGTTCATTTTCTAAACAAAAATGACATACCCATTTCCTCTGAAAGGGCACAGTATACACATTGGTTCAAAGTAGATATCTGATCAGTTTTGTTTCGAAACAAAATACCTACATTTGAATGTATGTCCAATTTTAAATCAACTGCATACTTTTTTATGGGGCTCTGTATATGATTCAACTGAGATTTAATCAGTAACGTTTAAAAAAAATAACCACAATATTATCACACATTCTGGCAATATGAAGGCGCCTGGCTCACATAACTGTCCTACTACCGCAGGTGTCCCGAGCTCAACGCGTGCATCCCGGACAACCTGTGGTGCGACGGCAAGGCCCACTGCCCGTCCGGCTTCGACGAGGACGAGTCCAACTGCGCCTTCCAGCTGGGCGTGCCCACGCTGTACCTGGTGACGGGCGCGTGCGCGCTGGCCGCGCTGCTGCTGCTCGTGGGGCTCACCTTCTGCGTGCGGCTGTGCCGGTCGCGGCGCAAGGAGCGTCACCAGCACGCCAACAACAAGCTGGCCGGCAACGCCATGGGCCCCATGGGGCCGATGGGGCCCATGGGGCCGTACGGCCCGGGCGCCAATAACCACCACCACCTGCACGTCAACCACCTGCACGCCAACGGCGACGTGAAGACGGCCACGCTCACCAAGCGCTTCCACCACGGCCACCACGGGCTGCAGGGACACGGCCTCCAGGGCCACGGGCTGCAGGGCCACGGACCGCCGCCGGGGCACGGCCCCCCGGGCGTCGGCCTCCAGGGCTACCCGGGGCCGCCCGGCCCGCCCGAGGACTTTTACTTCGACGGCAAGGACTCGCTGTGTTGACAGAACGTCCTGGCTATTGAGACCACGGTGTGAGGGGCGGCCGCGCACGGGGCGCCCAGGACGGCGTCGACGGCGTCCTGCCCGCGCCAAGAGACAATCACGACGAGGAGGGGGTGCGCCCCCCACATGTAGCTAAACGTTAGGGGCTCGGTGTGTCGGCCACGGCCGAGCACCTGCCCCCGGGGTGGAGGCTCAAAAAGGTGACAAGACTGAATCAAAGTCGTCCACAGCCGTCCAGTACCCGACGGGGGACGGCGGCCGAGTGGTCTCATAGTCAGGTGCCGGAGCGATCCGCCGTAGGTTATAGTGACTCTAGCACTTGGTCGGGAAGGCTGGTGCGTGACTACAGTGTGACCACGGCCACCCTACGACTACGGTGCGAGGTCCCAGGGGACGACGGGGCCCGCGGGGCAGACTGAAGTCTCCAGTCTGTTCTCTGTGATGTTACTGCGTCTGCCAGCGAGAACGTCCATGCTGTGTATAATGTATGAGTGAGTGTGTGTGTCCGTGCGTGTTACTGTGTGTCTGTATGTCTGTCATGTATGTATGTGGGAGTGGTTGCAAATGTGTTCTAATGGAGCTCGATGTACAAAGAGGATGTGACTTTTTATAAATAAATTATTCGATTGTTTCCTCGACTCTCATTTCGCTTCCTTCTTTACATTACACTTTATTTATGTTGTAACTATTATTGTTATCATCACACCTTTGACAAAATTTCGGACTTCCGTCAAGCACTGTGCGAGGTCCAACACGCAGAATAAAAGTCCTTCAAAGAGACGTCAGCGAAGAATTAGTCG